GACTCCTGTCTGTTTGTATTATTCAAGTATCATGGGCCCTAAGGCCCACCCAGCTAACTAATAGCCCTGTATGGGGCCAATGGGTGACTAATACAACAACATTTCATGGGACAACAAAGGCAACAACAGGGTGGGAGAGTTGTGTGGGTCAAAGGGTCAAAATGTGAGAATGAGTGCTCCTGAGGGGGACACCGAGCAGAGCCCCCCGGGCCGCACCTGCCAGTCCTCAAAGGCATCCAAGGAGCAGTGCAGCCCCACAGTCCCCAGGCACCTTCCCTGTCAGAGCCTCCTTCCTAGTTTGGGGGCGACGCCTAGCAGCAAAAGCCTGGATGCGGGGAGGTGACTGACCACTGCCTTTCTGCTGGCAATCTGGGCCCTGTTAGAAACAACAGCCCCTTCCACACACAGAGAAGCTTCTCTGGTGGGACATCCGTAAAGGCTTTTCCATCCTCCTGCTTGGAGGAATAATCCCCCCCGGCTTCCCCTTGTGTCTTCCAGCCAAGAAGTCTCTGCAGAAGCAAGGCACCGCTGCCCCAGACCTGCCACGGGTGGCCCTGGTGCGCCTGGAAGATGCCTTCCCGCAGCTGGCGGAGAAGCTGCAGATCTCCCGCAAGGGCAGGCGTGGCTTCGCAGTACAGAAGAAGACTCCCACGGGGGGCAGCACCGGACCGGCCACCCGTAGCCAAAGAACGGCCAGCTGCCCTGCCCCCAGCACCGAGCAGCTGAAGGATCTGCCAGAAGTGGTGCCGCTGCGGTGCAGCAAGTGCCGGAAGCACCTCAGCAGCGATGAGGAGTACATCGAGCACATGAACTTCCACAAGGTGAAGCGCACCAGCAGACTGGCTGTCCAGCAGAATCCCACTCTCCAGCCCACCCTCAGTAGCCCAGACCAGGGCAACCCAAAGCCGCAGGGTGGTGCCAAGAGCGAGGGCAACCAGGGGCTTGGCCCTGACCCTGACCCTGGCTCCCTCCAGCTCCCAGAGGGTCCCGGTGTCCAGGGCCCACACACCTGTGTGAAGTGCCGGAAGAGCTTCCAGCTGGAGATGAGCCTCGTGTTGCACCAGCGTGTGCACGTGCGAGAGAACAAGGGCTTGCAGCGGCCTCCAGGCAACTTGGGAACAGGGCAGCCGCTACCTCCAGCCAGGGCCCCACCGCTGCCCCCCGGGCAGAGGCCGTTCAAGTGCCCCAGCTGCCCCAAGGACTTCACCAGGAAGTCCCGGCTCAACGACCACGTCCGCGCCCACACCGGGGAGAGACTGTTCCGGTGCCCCTGCTGCCCGAAGGAGTTCACCAAGAAGTCCAAGCTCACCGACCACATCCGCGTGCACACCGGCGAGCGCCCCTACGCCTGCACCCTGTGCATCCAGCGCTTCAAACGCCGCCACCACTTGCTGCGGCACCAGCACGTCCACAACCGAGTGCCGGCCTGCCGCTGCAGCCAGTGCGGCAAGAGCTTCCGCTACGAGGAGTCCCTGAAGATCCATTTGCGAACTGCCTGCCCTGCGCTGCAGGCCCACCGCAGCTTCTTGGTGTCCCCGGGGGACTGACAGGGAGCCCCGGCACTGGCCGAGGTTCTCTGGGTCCAGGCTCCTGCGTGAGCCAAGGGAGGCTCGGGCTTTCTAGTTGACCTGCCGGAGATGGGAGCCCCGCTCCCGTCGATTACCTCGCCTCCGGCAGGCTCCTCTGAAAATCCCAGCCTGCCACGTTCCTTTAGCCCCCCAGCACGTGTTGGGCCCTGTAGGCCTATTTAGAGCAGCCAGCCACTCGCGGCACTGTCCTGGGAGGTGCAGTGAGCCCCACCTACATTGTTAGCAGCGGCCCATGATGTGGGTGTCCATCTGGAGGTGCCTTCCAAGGGCCAGGGTCTCGGGTGGGGGTGCTTGAGACTTCACTGTAGCAGTCCCAGATGCACCCACAGAAAACAGGGACCTCAGCGTCATCTGTTGCTGCTAAAAAATGTAGGCCGGGATGTGCAGATCCCCTCACCATGGAAACCCGTGGTCATAAATGGGGGTTTTCCCCAGGGAGAGTGTTCGGGCCAGGTCTGTTCATCCCAGTGTAGTAGTACAGTGCTGGTCCCTCCTGTGTTGTCTTTTTCTTTTTCTTTGCCAGGGTAGCACGCCGAGTCGTTCCCCCAGGTCCTGTAGCCCCCCAGCCTAGCCAGTCATTCCCCACTTTGTATTTGTGTATTTGATTGTCCTGTCCTAAGTACAGGGCTTTACACTTGTTCTTATTAAACCGTGTCTGATTGACCTCAGGTGGCTTCTTCAGTTTATCCAGGTCTCGTGTCTTTGCCCTGTCCTCCGGGTCTGCCACCCCCAGCATCCCTGCCCTCTACCCCATAACCCAGTGCGGGACCAGGCCGTACAGCAGGCGTGCCACAAATTGAAGTCCTGCGCCCTCTCTTGAGCGTCCCTTTTATATCGGTTTCCCCTGCCCGATCGGCTGCTCTGCTTTCTGCTCCCTGCCCTGAGTGCCACGTGCTTCCCCTGCCCGACCGCGGTAGCTAGGACGGGCAGGCCGGGGTTATGAAGTGCCGGCGGCGGGCGTTGGATGGAGAAGCGAAGTAAGCTGTCCCACTTCGGCGAGGACCTTCAGGCAGGACGGAGGTGGGGGAGCCGGCTTCTCTGGCCTCCTCGGCTACTCCCCCCTCTCTGCATTTGTCTTGGCACACACCCCTTTTG